TGTCTAGACATGGTTTCATCCCTAGCTAGGAGTGTTGATCCAGTCCTTTCTGCCTTGACAGGCATCTACGCCACTGTTACACAGCCTTGTGGGGCAGGCATTCTTCCTCAGTGTGGTGGCATTGGCAGTCACGTTCCCATAGTGTCAGTGCCATTAAACAGCATTGAAGTTCTACTTTGAAAGGAAACATCTCTGGTTACGTATGTAACCTGGCTCCCTGTGAAGGGAATGAAGATGCTGCATCATGTTGCCACACTTTGGGCTTGCCTGAAGCGTCCTCCTTCAGACAATTATAATGTGGCGATTCCATGACGTAGGTGCCCATTTATGGTGTCACTGACATGCCACAGTATGTCATCTGTCCTCACCTCAGCCAATCAAGGTTGGCGTGTTTTCACATGTGCTTCAGACCCTGGTCATGCAGAAGTCTTCCCATAGCATCAACGCCATGACGCAGCATCTCATTCCCTTCTCAGGGTTTCATACGTAACCTGAGAAGTTTCTCACCATGCAACCATTATGTGTGATTTACTGGTCTTATATTTTCATCTTTTCCATCCATGAGATTGAATGAGTGATTGTTTCTGCAGACACTGTGTATCTGCTGCTGGTTTTGGAGGTGGTGGGCTTGGACCAGAAGAGGAAAATGGTCTTTCTCCTGAAACCTGCTATGGCTGCAAAACGAATAGACACCAAAAGAAAAGTGTCTGGAGAGGACAGACTTCAAACCTCACACTGGTAAAAGACATCAAAATCAAGAACATTTCATTAAAGATGTCTTGGACTGATAGTTTAATCTCTCTTCTAAATGAATGTTGCATGTGGATGTCAGTTCATTGCACCTCATAATTGTAATATACTTCTGTTCAGGAAGGAGTTAGTCTGGCCAGTGTGGATGTGGATCAGCCGCTGAAACTACTCCTCAATCGCTCACAACTCAAACCCAGTGAAGCCATACTGGAACTGCTGCCCGCTGTCAGAGCACTTGCTCAACATGTAATGTACACCATCACAGCTGGAAACCATGATGGATTCTTCCAGATCAGACAGCGGGCGGGTATCAGTTACCTGCACAGCACACACAGGACGCCCTCAATGAGACGCTACAGACTGCAGATCAGAAGTTCTGCTCTCTCTAAAGAAATGGACAGAGATGAGCGACTTGCGCCAAACCTGCACATGACACTCCACATTACACTCCAGTAGAGAAGCTGGAACTGCTGAAAACTACAAACTCTGAACATGTGGAGCTTCATAAGCTAACCGAATGCTCTCTCAGAAGCTGAAGGTGCTTAAGTCATTCTAATCTTTGAATATGTGACGATTAGGTGGTGTTCACACACAGACACACACACACTCTCGCTCTCTCTCTCTC